CCCCCCCCCCCCCCCCCCCACTGCGGGGAATATCTATGTGTGTGGTGTGTGCAGTACTGCATACTGCATGTTCATGCTCATGTGGATGAGCCCATTGTGTATTCTAAGGTTTATGTCAACCAGTTATATGAGGTTAAAACTACAATTTTTTTAACTAGGATTTTTACAATGAGATCTCTTATAACATACACCTTATTGACTGGTGAAAGCTCTAAGCTTCCTGATACTTAGCATGTATGTAAATTCACAAGTTCAAAGTGCTGTACACTGGACCAAAAGCTTACAAGCTTTTGGGAACAAATATTAACACATTTAACTATCAGAACAACAGAGAAGCAGGTTACTGAGCAGTCGAGCAGATTTTCCTTTTGAACGATTTTTTTTTTTTATTATTAATGCAGCAGTAGTTTTTGGGCTATTCCATCCATCAGATAGTGTACTCTTATTTAACACGTCTGGTAAAGAACATGTAATTCTGTAAAATAATCCGCATTTTTATCTACTGTCTATATCTTAGTTTAATGCGCAGACGTAGCAAAAGATTACTGATTTTGCAGGTTCATGATGAAGGACACACAACAGACAAGAAAAACTCACCAATGGCTTCACATCTTTTGTGTGCATAAATGAGTGCCAAAAGGCAACACAATGACATATCGGTGTGACACTTTCTGGCATCCTCCAGCCACAAAATAGCATCTTGTATTTGACCTGAAAGACACGACAGAGGACTGGTTTACTCATTCTTATCGTTTTAGCAACCATTTAATTAGTTGTATACGGTAGCTGTGTGTTTTACTGATGTGCTAAGAGTCACAGGAGTTAGCTAGTTTCTAAATGTGTATTTGTTTGTATGTTGTCCTTACAGAATGTTTGCCACACCAAAGTGTTATGGAAGCACACAAATGTGATCAAGCCTGTAGTTCATCATCATTGGCTTAGCTGCCTATTACAGCAGAAGAAATAAGAACTGCTTGGAGATGAGTTGTTCCCTTCTTTCTGTTTCTTTCTAAAAATGGAAAATAAGATAGCGTACAGACTTACGTGTTCAGGGAGGCATGAGCTTTTGTAAGTGACAACCTACAGCATCACAGATGCTATACCATCAGATGCAGCAGGTTGTCACCTATAGAAAGCTCATGCCTCTCTGAATAAGCCAGCCTCTAAGGGTGCCTGTAGACATGCAGGGATGCTGCTTCAACACTGTAATTACAGCATGTTGGAACAGACTTGTTTAATTGCGTCTACTGAAGTGTGCTAATGAGCGTGCTCTTGTGTGTGCTCCTGCAGCCTCCACATCTTGTGCATTCAGCATCCCCACGCTTCAAAATAGTGGTGGGAGCACTTTAGCTAAAACTTGTCGAACAAGCTTTAGTTAAAGCGCCCCTACCAACATTCTGAAGTGTGGATACATGAGACCCTGCAGGCACTTTAGAGTGGCTCCAAGAGCCACTCTAATTAAAGTACTCCCACCCACCACTGCAGACCATGTAAAGATACATCCTGCTCTGTATAATTATACTGATACCATTTCTCACATGGACAAGCCCTGCATTCACTGTGTCATCTGTCCCTTCCCTTAGCAAGTTTGCAGAGGACACCAAGCTGGGGGGGTGTAGTAGATATGCTAGAGGGTAGAGCTAGGATTCAGAGTGACCTAGACAAATTAGAGGATTGGGCCAAAAGAAATCTCATGAGGTTCAACAAGGACACGTGCAAAGTCCTGCACTTAGGACAGAACAATCCCATGCACCGGTACAGGCTGGGGGCTGAATGCCTGGGCATCAGCTCTGCAGAAAAGGACCTGGGGGTTACAGCGCACAATATGCTGAATATAAGCCAGCAGTGTGCCCTTGTTGCCAAGAAAGCTGATGGCATACTGGGTGGCATTGGTAGGAGAGTTGCCAGCAGATCAAAGGAAGTGATTCTTCCCCTCTACTATTAGCACGGGTGAGGCCACATCTGGAGGGCTGTGTTCAGTTTTGGGCCCCTCACTACAGAAAGGATGTGGACAAATTGGAGAGTTCAGCGGAGGGCAACAAAAATAGTGAGGGGGACTGGGAGACATGACTTGTGAGGAGAGGCTGAGGCACCTGGGCTTATTTAGTGTAGAGAAGAGGAGACTGAGAGGGGTTTTAACAGCAGCCTTCAACTACCTGCAGGGGGTTCAAAAGAGGATGGAGCTGGACTGTTTTCAGTGGTGGCAGATGACAGAGCAAAGAGCAATGGGCTCAAGTTGAAGCAAGGGAGGTTTAGGTTAGATATTAGGAGGAATTTTCTCACTAGGAGGGTAGTAAAGCATTGGAACAGATGACCCACAGAAGTTGTGGACTCTCCATCCTTGGAGGTTTTTAAGACCTGGGTGGACAAAGCCTTGGCTGGGATGATGTAGCTGAGGTTGGTCCTGCTTTGGTCAGGGGGTTGAACCAGATGTGACCTCCTGAGGTCCCTGCCAACCCTCCTGTTCTACAGTTCCATGAACACGTCCTCTGCTGAAACTGAAAATGCAGAAATGATGTGAGACCCCCAAAAAACAAAAGAAGAAACCAAAGAAGCACCACTCCTCTTTCCCACCGCAGTCCATCCTTTGCATTTACCTAAATGTAACGCTGCATACGCCTTGAAAAACAGCCACACGGGACCACCGGCGCGCTCATCCAGTTCAAAACTTGCCGTACGCATCGCATGGTTGAAATATTTTTCCTGCGCATAAAATATCATACAAGCCTAGAGGAAAAAAGACCAAGAAAACTCATCTTATGTTATTATTATTATTGTTAATGTGCCACCCCTGTGAGGAGACTCTTGCCCGAGGAGGAGTGCTGCTGCCGGTGATTTCTGGCAGGCCGCACGGATTAATTCACCAGCCCGCGCGCCGCAGGAAAGGGGGCCTCTGGGGCAGGAGCGAGGGAGGTTCCCGAGAGAGGGGCAACACCAGGCCAAAACACCCCCTGGCAGTCTGCATGAGGCTGGCACACCGCCCGGGCCGCCTCGCGGCCTAGTACCAGGGCCTGGGGGTCGGGGCCCGTCATAGCGGCGGCCCCTTGCTGCGGGGAACACGTCCCCCGCCGCCGCGTCCTAGCAACCGGCGGCCCCGCCCCGTTGCTAGGTGCGTCACCATCACGTGAGGGGCGTGGAGCCTATCAGGGAGCAGCCAGGCCGGAGCCGCAGTCGGGCTCGGCGCTCGCTCGCTAAGGCCTGCGGTGGTGCAGCGCTAGGGGGGCGGGGCGTCCGGCAGCCGCCGCCGCCAGTGCTGCCGCGCCATGGGGCTCAGCTCCAGCTCGGAGCTGCCGGCCGGGGGCAGCGAGGGCTTCCACGTGCACGGGGTAGGGGCACCCCCTCCCCCAAGGTTGAGCAGGGGGCGACGGTTGGTGACAGTTGTGGGGGAGCCCCCCCTCTTCCCAAGGCTGAGCAGGGGGTGGCGGTTGGTGACGGTTGGGGGAGCTGCGCCCGTGACAACCGTGACGCGCTCCGCGGCTCAGTCCCGCCAGGCGCTCGGAGCAGACACACGTTGGCGCCGCGCCGCGAGGGCCCGGGAGCGCTGCGCTCTGCCCCCCGGCACCGCGGCCCTCGGGCTGGAGCAGGGCCAGGCCTCGCCCCGAGCTGCCAGCCGCGCTGTTTGCTTTAGGGAGGGGCTGGGCTGGTTTAACGTGGCCGCCCCAGGGTGTGTCGGGTACTTCTCGGTTGTCTTGGCCCTCGGTTTTGCAGTTCAAATGCTTGAGATTTCTTTGGAGCAGCGAGCTTCTTATTCTTATAATATTGGCTATGTAAGCTCAGCATTGCGAAGCAGGGTTAGTTACCCTCCTTGCAGAATGGTCACTGAAGTAAATTCTATGAAGTCCAGGGGGCCCTCGGTTTTACAGCTCAAATTCCTGAGATTTCTTTGGAGCAGTGAGATTCTCATTATTCTTCAGAAGAAAGGTGACGCTTTGATTTCTGGGCCTTGATGCCTGATGCCCTTGTGAATTTTAGGAGCCTTTTTGTGAATCTCTAAATGGGAATGGGGAGTTGTTGTTCCTATGAATTTGGTGGGACTTAGGTATAGGGCGGTCGTTTGATCCCTTGCCGACACGTTTGTCTGCTGGTGAGGTGAACGGGGGTGGTCTTTGGCTGTAAGTGCCTCTGTCTTGAGGGTGTTTCTGTTTCCTTGTCTGGGCTGTAGGTTGAGAAGTGTCTGGGAAGTCGGGGGCGTCCTGTGGTGGGACGAAAACCGAGTGGCGGCAGCATGTTGTGCAAAATTATGGCTGCTATAGGGGGTTTTTTTTAGGCCTGGAATTTGTGAGCGGTTTTATGGCCATGGAAGCTGCTTTCGTCCTCTGGACATATCAGAGTTCAGCGCAGAGCGACAGCAATGATCAGGGGCTTGGGAAGCATGACTTGTGAGGAAAGGCTGAAAGAGCTGGGGGTTATTTAGTTTGGGGAAGGGAAGACAGGGTGGGATTTGATAGCAGCCTTCTGGTACCTGAAGGGCAGCATGGAGAGGACAGAGATGGGCTTTTCTCTGTGGCTGGAAGGGACGGGCTTAGGAGCTGTGGCCTCAAGATGCAGCAGAGGAAATGTAGGTTGCAGGTTAGGAGGAACTTTCTGACAAAGAAGGTGATCAAGCAGTAGAACAGTACCCCTAGAGAGGTTGTGGGATCTCCATCCTTAGATGTTTTCAAGAGTAAGTTAGACAGACACTTAGCTGGGATGGTTTAGTTGGGTTGATGCTTCCTTGGTCGGGGGCTGGATTGGATGAGCCTGTGAATTCCCTTTCAGCCCTACTTTCCTATGATCTGTTCCTAACCTAATAAACTATAAACTACGAGATGTCCAAGACGAAGTGTACAGAGTAATGTTACCCAGTTCTCGAAAGCATCTGGTGTATTTTCAGATTCCTTTCATTTAATAGTGTGGTATAGAAAAATGCTGCCAGAAGATATCCAAACTTTGTTAGCCACAAAGGAGTCCTAATTATAGATCCCGCATTCTTTGTTTCGATTTCTGCAATTGATTCAGTAGCTTTCTGTTTAGTGTGACCATTCAAGAAATCCTTCCACAGATGTCTTGTAATGAGTTTCACTCATTTGGTTCAATCCAAATTCCGATACTAGATCTGCAGACCACATCAAGTACTGTTGGTGCATGATGTATATTAACTATTATAGATCGTTTGTATTGTACTGTAAACTGAAATTGTACAATTTTGTAGGTTCAAGAGAACTCTCCAGCTCAGCAGGCCGGGTTGGAGCCTTTCTTTGATTTTATCATCGCAATAGGACACACCAGACTAGTAAGTATTGGAAGAGACTCATCCTTAAAGTGTATTTTACATTTTTGTGCCCCTGTAGGGTACTGATTTGTCAGTACTGGAGAGTGAAGCTCTCCCTAATCCCAGTGGCAGCATTGCAAGTATCCTTATTATTTTCTACCAGTGTGCCTGAGCCGTGACCTGGAGGGCCCACTGTGGAGAAAGATAGATAGTTTCCTTTGATCTGTGGCGTTTCTGCTCCAATTGCAAGTAGCTTAGATATGTTTATGATGCAAACTGGCAATTGGAGGCTGGGCTAAGCACTAACCTCCTTTCTTTCAAATTCCTTAGTTTTTTTTCTTGACTAGAAAATTAATCTTAGAATATTCTCAAATGTTGGTGTTTAGCCTGTCAAAGTGATGTGTCAAGGTATGATCTGTGGCTATCTTGGACCTCATGCATGCCACCTTGGTACATGTTATGGCTGCTCAAAACTTGGTTGCAGCAGGGAAGGAACCCAGGTCTCCCTCTGTTCAAATGAAGGGTTCCTGTGAAAGGAGACTGTGAAGTCTTTTTGCTTTTGAGAAGGAAATGGATGTCACTCATGCTGAAGGAGTTGCCACTGTTCCTCAGTTGAAGCAGACTTCACTGATACAGGGAAGAAACTGGCAACAATTTGTCTGTACAGCCCCAGGCTGTATCATGCAGATATAGACTCCCTGCTGGCTCTGGAACCAGAAGCATTCAGCAAAGCCTACTAGGCTGTGTATACCAGTAAAGCTGTACTAGTACAGCTACACTGCATCCAGTTCTGGAGCTGATAGTGGGTATATCTGTGCCATACAGCAGTACCCTGAGAGTGAAGTTTGTGCCAGGCTGTTTTTATAAAAACCTCCTTATTTTTTTAGAAACTAGGAAAAACTACGGAAAGCAAAACTAGACATGACCCAAGATGTGGTCCAGTTTCTATTAAAATTAGTAGGACCTGGGTCAGGCTGTCAAAAATTTGTATGGCAAAAAAGAAAGCAGTGTTTGGGACCTCCTATACCTCTTTCTTTGTGGGGCTTTGTGGTCTCTGACTCCATGCTGGGCTGCCTTGGTGTCTTGCTGGGTTCTTCCAGCTTGTGATTTTTTGGGGATGGAGTTGTGGTGCAGTGTCCTTGGAGACCAAGAAGTCAGTACTACTGTCTTTCTCCCTTGGTGAATTCTGTTTAACTAGTCCTGGGTTTTGATCTGAACCTTGACTGGTATTAAAATAATGTTTAGAAAATCTTTCGCTGATGACCTGCTTGCTACTTCCACAGTCCCTAGGTCTATTTGGCCTGTTTTCTAGGCCTCATGACTCCCTGGTGGACTAAAGGACTAATCCTTTAGCATTCTTTCCAGCTGTTTTTTCTGCTGTAGGCTAAATATCAAAATCACTTATTTGCAGGTGGTTGGATCTCAACACTTGTTTAAACTATTTATTTTAACACTTGGATAAACATGAGAGATAATCATTAACAAGTGGGCAGCTGCCATGTCACCAGTCTGAACACTAGATGTAGAGAATGCAATCCGTGTCTGCATTTCTTATGAAAGAAAAAAACTCTTAGGTGTCATAGGCCAAATTCTTTCTTTTTTTACTCTGTGATCAACAACATTTAAAATAAATCCTCACAACTGTGAAGATCTGCCTTGTGCCACTGAGAGGGAAACTGAATTCCTTTGGCCTTCCTTGCTTGCATGAGCCTGGATATCGTGTTGGAAATTGCAATATAATGCAATGAGGGACCAGTCACTCCATTAACTGGATGGAAATAGTGATAGCTATAAGGAACTTTATAACTAAATTATAACCAGTTACTACTAACTTTTATAAGATACCTGTTTTCAAAGTTGTTGTGTTGGAGGGGAAATGAAAGGATCAAAGACATCATACAAAGCATGGGGCTCAATCTTCTGGCCCTACAGGCTGGATGAATGGCATGGGCTGAGTTTGCAGGTTTTCACATTGGCCTGGCCCCCATGTACCAGCACAGGGTCACATAATCTAGCCAGGGGGCTCCCCACGGATCTGGAAATTTGGCAGTAGGGGAGTGGTAGTTAATGTTGGCACCATTCATGCCAAATACTGGACCTGTGGGAAGACCCATGGGCTGGGTGACATGGCCTTGCAAGCCATAGGTTGAGCACCACTGATAAATAGCACTGTCTCTTGATATGCATTTATACTCCAAGTCTCCTGTAATCGTCTGAAGCTGTTCTATTTGCATTACAAGAAAGTGAAGTTGGAGGAGTGATAGTAATGGGATTGAGCAGTAGTGAATAACTTTGCTCAGGGTTAGACTCTGTTATCTTGTACATCTAATGGAAATGGTTTTGTTGGGGGCAGCAGCAAAGCCCTGGGTGTTGCAGTGCTGCTTCTCTGAAGCCTGATGTTTTTACATGCCTGATCCATCTAGAAAGGAGTATTTATTTTTCCTTAGAATAAAGAAAACAACATGTTGAAAGACCTGCTGAAAGCGAATGTTGAGAAGGCCGTGAAGCTGGAGGTCTATAATACAAAAATGATGAGAGTGCGTGAGGTGGAGGTGATCCCCAGCAACATGTGGGGAGGGCAAGGGCTTCTCGGAGCCAGCGTGAGGTTCTGCAGTTTCCAAGGAGCCAATGAGCATGTGTGGCATGTTCTGGTGAGCAAAAAAAAAATTCTGTGGCTTTTGGTACATATATAATACTCGCTATATAAACTCAGCATCTCAAAGCACAATTAGTTACCCTCCTTGCAAAATTATCAATGAAGTAAATTGCATGAAGTCATGGCAGCCCTTGGCTTCTCAGTTCAGATTCCTGAGATTTCTTTGGAACAGTGATAGTCTCATTATTCTTCAGAAGAAAGGTGACATTTTGATTTCTGGGCCTTTATGCCTGATGCCCTTGCAAATTTTTAGGAGCCTTTTCATGAGTCTCTGAATTGGAATGGGAATTTTTGTTTCTCTGAATTTGGTGGGATCCTGTGACCCTAAGAATATTCTTAGGAGAATGAAGCTTTGGTGGTGCTGGAGAGCCTGCTGAGTGGCTTGCTGCTCTTAATACACGGAGCCTTTCAATGCTACTTTTAGTTCACATTTGCTTGCTAAAGTACCAGCACTATTGAAATTGGAGGAAGGGAAGAACAGGAGCTTTTTTAAGTTGTCTCAGCCAGTGGGAGGAGCTCCTTTGGAACTGGGGAATGTAAACCTGGGAAATGAATAGTATCATCACCAGCCCCTCTTCCAGAATATCTATCACTTTTTGTTTTCTAATTTGCATTTTATTAGCATGTGAAGAATTGTTAGCAAAACGCAAGCATTCCAATTGAATTGGCTTCTTTAGAATGGCTGAACTTTATTTAAAAACCAGATAAAAGCATGCAGAAAACCTTTATTGTTAAAGTTAAAATCAGTATTAGCTTTGTGGAAAACCAGAAGATTCTGGGAAGTGTCTCTAGCAAAAACTGACTCCTCTTGTGACTGCTTTCTTCTCTTGCTGATGTGTATATTGAGGTTTAGGAAGAGACTGCACTTTGATTTTATATTGAAGTTTTAACTGGTTGAATTTTAATGAACCTTGACAGCCAGGTACTGCTTCTAGATGTAACTTGTTCTGAAAATTCTAATCTATTTAAAGAGAAATCTTCTTCCCTTGTCACTTTTCCAGAGTTATATTTTTCACCTTCTGCTATTTTACCCAACTGCAAAGGAAAGTGACCTGTAATTGTTTTCCAGGATGTAGAGCCAGCTTCTCCTGCAGCTCTGGCTGGCCTGCTACCCCACACGGACTACATTGTTGGATCAGATCAGATTTTGCAGGAGGTAGGGCATGGTCTTAATCACTGATGTATTTTGTGCATTTAAAACATGGTAAGAGTTGCGGCTGCTTTGAGTAGTAGTGACAGCTCTCTTTACATGACCCCTTTATACTAGATCAGTGGTGCTCAACCTTTCTGTCTGGCAGGCTGGATGGGCAGTGCCTGATCCCTCCGTGGACCAGATCTGGCTGATTGACCCAGTGTGGCACCTGAGGCAGGTGCCTGGCCACACAGTGGTGAGGGGGACAGCCAGCAGGCTGTCGCTGATTTTGATTCAGCAGAGATTCGGCCTGCTTTGGCGGCTGAATCTCCAAATCCGAATTGAATCAGGAGACCCATTAATCTCTCCAAATCGAATCGGAAGCCTCTGATTCGATTTGGAGAAATTCGATGATTCGGACATAGCTTTATATGTTTGTTCTTTTTTCTCATACCTCAAGGTACCAGCTGGCTCATGAATGCTGAGATGGTGGGGCAGATGGAGTGTCCCACGGGAACGCTGTGTGTGTGTGGGGGGGGGTCCCCATCATGCTCCGCTGTGGACCTGGAAGTGGACCAGAAGCACTTATGGTCCACTTCTGGGTCCACCGTGGAGTGCGTGGGGAACAACACCCCCCATTTGCTGAACCAGGGGCATGTGAAGGGAATTCCCTGCACTCCTATGGGACACTTCATGTGCCCCACCATCTCAACGTTCATGAGCCACGCCTGGTACCTCGAGGTATGTAGAAAAAACACACAAAGCTGTGTCTGTGGCAGAATCTCCAATTCTCTGAATTGGAATTGAATCTTTGGATTTGGCCGAATCGATTCAGAATCGATCCCCCCCTGAATGAGGATGAATCTGAATCAAATACGGCCTGCTTTGCATACCCCTAACACCCGTGCCCCTGATCCAGCTGTGGTTTGCAGGGGGGGGCTGTCCCTGAACCAGTTGCACAGGGGGAGGGGGCATGTCCTAACATAAGCTATCACTATTCCCTCACTGCCAAATTGCCTGTTCTGTGGGGAGCCATGCAAGGCCAGATTCCAAGGCTTCGGAGGTCGCATTTGGCCTGTGGGCCAGAGGTTTAGCACCCATGTACTAGATTATGAATCTAGTTGCCTCTGAGATCAGATATCTGTGACTTCTTAAAGGGAGGAATTAATAGGAAGTAGTGAGTATGGTCTTTCCCTTTTAAAAATGGCTCTTTGAAGTGGGGAGTTGGTGATAAAATGTTGTGAGAGTTAACTAAGTGTGTTTTGTGTCTTATCAGTCAGAGGATTTTTTCTCCCTAATTGATTCCCATGAAGGGAAGCCACTGAAGCTGATGGTCTACAATACTGAAACAGATTCCTGTCGAGAGGTAGTTGTAACACCTAATGGAGCCTGGGGTGGAGAAGGAAGGTACTGATAAGTTGGGTTTTGTAAATAAATTCTTATTTTTACGTGGCATCACCAATTTCAATTTGTTGTTTTTGGCTAAGCCTTTTTCTCCTTAACTCCCATAAATTGCTCTCCTCTAATGTTTAAACAATGGAAAACAATTGAGAAGTGTGAATTTGGCATATCATGGGTCTAATCCTTTGCCTGTTGAAACCGGTAGCAGAACTCTGACTTAAATAGTAGAAGGCTTGGGCTTTATATACCCTGCAGTCATGTCTTGTTTGGAATAGATTTGTGGGAGGCTAAAAGCAGAAAAATACCACTGTAACAAGGATGATGGAAATTAAGATGTTTCCACTTTTGAGTCTTGTTTGTCTAAAGCCAAAGTTCAAAGAAATTCTGGGGCATTGCTGTTGCTTCTGTTTAATAGCAGCTGCTCTACCTGCAGCAGCATATTGCTTCTGTGTGCTAAGAAGTTTGAAAGTTTTCTGTGCTTTCTATTTCAGAATTCCTAACTGAAACCATTTGTCTAATCAGCCGGAGCAAAAGTGCATGTTTAATCTCTCCAGGTTCTTTTACTCTGCTCTTCTCATGTAGTTTAGGATGTGGCATTGGATATGGCTATCTGCACAGAATTCCAACGCAACCTGCTCTGCCAAAGAAAAAGCAAGAAAGCACACCACCTTCACCCTTGCCCTCAGAAGATGGAGCTCATGTACCATCTGTACCCTCCACCAATGGCTACATGGAGGTAAGAAGTTTATGCATCTCTTTAGAGTGCTCTGTGAAGTTATTTCTGGGCATTTATGAATGTATAACAGGCTAGCTAGTATGGAAGTGAGCTGAGTGAAAGTTGAGTCCAAGGTGTAAGGCAATGAGAGAGGGGAAGATCAGTGAGAGATGAACCCCCAGATGTCTGGGACTACTACAAGTACTCTTTCATGTTATAATTGAGGACATGGTTATAATTCCTCTATGGCCTAGATTCAGCAAGATTTGTGTCTTTATCCTATCTAATTTGGGTTAAGTGCTGCATATGGATCTAACCTTTGAAGACCATTCTTGTGTAAGTCTGTGCTCCCTAAGCAGTGTTTCATGCATGGTATATTTTTAGCCTGTTTAACTGCTTGATACTGATTCTATAGTAGCCATATGGGTTTGAGGTGTGTTAGTCCCTATCTCATCCTGCAATTGGATCTAAAGAGATGCAGCTTGGGGGGAGGGGATCTCAAGCTGACAGCCCTATAACTTTTATATTTGAGAACAGGGGGCAGAGCGTTCACTTATGGGTCTTTTTAGATGTCAAGAAAAAGATGTGTTGTGTTTTCCCTTTGTTGTGTTTAGGCTCCGCTGTTAGCACCTAACACAGAAAATGACAACTTTGAAAATATTATGAACTTGGAGCCATCTACAGATGAAGAAATGAGTGGTTTTTCAAGGGAAAGCTCCCTTTCTCCTCCTCCTCCTGTCCAAAGAGTTATGGATCCAGGTAGGATCTTTGTATTAATGCCTATGTTGAATATATACCTCCTTAATCCTCACTTCTCTCTGGACTCCAATCCATCATTATTTAAATATAGAAGAAATTTGATCTCATATTTTTCTTTAAAAATCAAGGGAATCAAAGGTAATGAGCTAGAATTGTAGTAGGATTGGAGTGGTGGTGTTGCCATGATGGTCTGGGATATATACAAGAGGCAAGGATTTTTAGTGGTATCTTTTACTGGTCCAACTATATAGTTCAGAGGGCTGTTGGACAACCTTCCAGGCATCAAGTGCCCTTCAGGTCTAAGGTCTGATGCCTGAAAGCTTGTCCAACAGCTCTCCAGATAGCTGGTCCAATAAAAATCCTTGCCCTTGTTCCAGAATGGTGACATTCACATGTTTGATTTATCACCTGGATCCAAAGTTCACTGTAATCAATGGAAATTTTTTTACTGGCTTTGGCTCAGGCCCTTACAAATTGAAGAAGGGTACTTTGAATGAATGCTTTTTTGGGACACCATCTTTGTGCTGCAACCAGAAATGCTGCTGTGAAATATGCACTGCCCGTGTGGCCCAATTCATCATGCTGCACTCCTCAAAACAAGGTCATGCAGCTGCCTTAGTGCCCCATAGTATAGTCTCTGGCTTGCACCTGCTTATGGCTTCTATAAAAATGACTGCTTGACTTTTTGGGGGATTTAGTGCACATGGAGTGGGAGGGAGTAGCTGGGGTATTTATTTGGGTATGGCATAGAGGCAGCAGGAGCAAACCTTAGTGTTCCAGCAACTTTAGCTTGTGCCTTTTCCAAGGGAAAATTTCACTGACTAGGAGTCAGATATGAAACTTTATACCCAGAAAAATACTTACAGCTGAGTTTAAAGCTAAATCCTACCTTGTTCTTACTTGTTTAGGCTTTCTAGATATGTCTGGAATTTCATTTCCTGAACTTACGGACTTAACAAAAATGCCAAATACATCTCCATCTATTCCCTTCAACTTGTCGACAGAAGACTCTTTGTCAGAAAATGAAAGGCTAATGAATAGTGGAACGGCTGCTTATTTTGGTAAGCGTGTATAAAATGGTCAGACTGTTTAGTTCACTTGGTTCCACGCAGGAGACCCTTGTTCTCAAGAAGCAGAGTTATGCTTCTTGAGAACGTGTACAATTTATTTATTTTGGGCAGACCTTACAAGACCTGCAAAACCTTAAAAGACCTGCAAAACCTTACAAGAAATGCAACTAAAACCAAAGGAGGGGAAATAAAATGAGCAGGTTGATTAGCCAAAGGCCTCCAAATCTGATGGGGAAGTGTGGGTTGTAAGTGTGTGTGTTTTGTATTGGGAAACCTTATATTTAGGGTTTCCTAAAAGTGAGGATTCATATTTAAAATGTCTGGGTGTCAAGGTGCAAAAATGTTATATCCAGATCTTGTAACTCTTTATTGCAATGAGACTTTTGTAGTAGATTCCAAGTAGTTGAATAACAGACTGTAGTGAAACTGTATTCCTTTAACGCTTCATATCTGTTTTCTTTCATAAAGATTTTCATTCTTTTGACTCTCTCCCTCTTTCAAAAAAGAACAGACCATGATTTTAGCTTGAAAACAATTTTCCCCCTCTTTCAAAGAGAATGAAACATCAGAAATACAAACCATCCTAAAATGTATATTTCAGGATTTTAAGATTACCCCAGTTCAGAACTGAGCAGTTGGTTCATTTGTCTAATGGGTGGCAGGCTTGAAATCAGTGAACAAGGAGTCTTTAATTTCTGAAAAAGGGGGCTGAACTTTGCTTAAGTCAGGGGTGTCCAGCCTTGGTGCAGGCAGGGGCCACATCTTGCACTAGTCACAGGCCCAGGGCCACACATACCATAAGGTGCAAGTGTAAGTTTGCATTGCTACTTCCCAGTCTGTGTATTTGATGCACTTTTTTGATTTAGGAATTATTTTCTTTTCTCAGAACATGTCAAAATGTCAGTCCCCGAAGAATTAGCCACCACTTTTGATGGTGCAGTTCCACAGTCTGAGATGGACCATTTGATGCCTTCAGTTTCCCCATTACCATCCTTTGTTCTTCCTAATGACATTACTTCAACAGCAACACTAAGAACAAATTCCAGTGCTCAAGAAACAGAATTACTCTTGGACAGTGTTGACAGCCCATCAGCCACTAACCTGCTGGACCCTGAGAGCAACGAACAGGCACAGGAACCCAAAGAAGCAGTGACACAAGATGAGCATTAGAAAGGATGCCTCCTTCTGCCATATGCTGTCCTACTACAACTCAAACGTTTGCTGTTTTATCTCTTGATAACTGCAGCTGTTCTATTTTGTTAGACTAAGCGGTGCTGTAAAAATATACTGGGAAAGCATACAGCCCCCTTTCCCCCCCAGACAGTACTTGTCCTATTGTTCTTGCTTCTCAGCAGTATGCAATACATTGAACTTCATTTAACTATTATTCAAATACAAATCAGAAAATGGAATAATCTGGCAGTGATAGGAAGGCTTGCATTTTTCCACTGTCAGTACGTATAATGAGGTTTATGTTTGCTTTTAATTTGTTATTTCTAATAAGTAAAGTACTGTAGTTGCCTTTGCTTGAAACAGCTTTTAATTACCACTTTTCCTAGTATCTTTTATAGCATTGGAGAAAATGCTTCTCAATATTTTGACTTGCTGAAAAATAACTTTTACAATTCAGGCCTGTTCCTTCCAAAAGCACCTTTCCTATTTTTAGACTAACACTACAGATTTTTTTTTATCTATGGTTTGTGTGATGAAAAATTTAAAACAATTTTATTTAGCTTGTTTGGGAACTGGAGGAAAGTTCCTTGCACCTTCCTCTTGGGGATGTGTAGGGATGGACTTCCTGGCTGTCACAACATTGTTTTCACAGGAAATGAAGGGAATGGCTTAAGTTAAAACTGTAAGCAGTTGTGATCTGGCATTCATTTCACTGTGAGACATGGTGCTGTCTTGCAAAAACCATTGTAATGAAGTTGCAAAGGGAATGTCGTGGTGCATGTTGGACATTGAATTTGATTTCAGCTTGATAAATTAAAAGCGGTAGCTCTAAGGTGCATATGGAGTTGATTATGGGATCATTTTTAAATAGAAAATTGATATTCTAATAGACTTTGAAGCAGTGAATGGATTTATAACTTAACTTTTATTAATCTCTTCTGTTTTTCCCAGCTCCTAACTATTTTTGGTACAAAGCAGTAGGGTAAAGACACTGGAATAAACATTCTGTGCAACAGTCTGCACTGCTTTTAAGTTGACGACTTATTGTTTCTATAAGTCTATGCCTGTTGTATCTGTAAATGTTTGCTTTACACATGTAACTTGGTTACTATTCAGCCAGTTTCATAGCTCAGGCACCATCCTTCTGGGAATCTTTAAACATAATAGACCCAATTCTCTTTTTGTATGGGCATTGATCTCAGATGCCACCACTGTCATCACTGTTATAAAGAAAATTGGGTCTAGTTTTGTACATGTAAAATTGAAAATGCAGCCTACTTGAAGCACTCTGCATGGCAAGAAACATGTTTTTTCCATTCAGGGGTACTGTACTGAGACCCAGCATTACTTATCTATCAATCTCCAGAGAAGGATTAGTTTCATTTGGCAGATTGATATCAACACTTAAGATGACTGGGGGTCTGCCTGTCTCTGTGCTTCTGGTTGTAGGTGAAGTCATAATACAAGGGCTTAACACTCAACTGGTGGAAGTTCTCATTGCATAAAGAATTTCCTGAAGCTTCTTTAAATTCTTCTAAAATCTAGGAAGCACAGCACCAGTACAGAGTATGTGAGGGTGAAAGGATTTCAGCCACCCTGCTCATACAGCAAGGTGTATTGCAAGTACTAAGTATAAGGCATTCTGCTTTTGAAATATTTTCAATCTATCTATAACTTCATTATATAATCCTTAAATTGCTTCTCAGAACAGCAGCAAAAAACTATTTTTTCTAGATGTGAATTTACATATGTGATGCTTAACATTGATGAAATAAAAGTCCTGTAACATAAGCTATTGGTCAAGCATTTCTATGTTCAGTTTTACTGGTTTCAGAGCATGCTCAAAACTTCCCTTCTTCAGGTAAATGACGACTAAGGTAAGGATAGTCTCATTCAAAACTTGAATGTAAAAGCAGCTCAATTTTAAGGAGCATTAAGGACTTAAGCTAGCCTAGTTAGATGTTTGTCACTCTAGCTGTAGCTGCAAGCACCACTTTAGCACTGACATTCCCCATTCTGGAATTTCTAATCTAAAATTGCAAATAACTTAGTAATAAATCATCCTCTAAGCTGGGGAAAGCATGTAAAAAAGCCTTGCACTAGAATTGGATCTTAGGGTAGGAAGCCTTGGATGATTGCTGTAACAGTAAAACTCCTCTCGTCATGATTTTAAGATGCCAGAGCTAAATGTAAGCTAGGTATGGTTATCATGTTTATGAACTCTGGCAGGGGACATTCATTATATCAGCTAGTTAAGGATATGTGGTTACAGTCTATCCACAATTTCTGGGACTCAGTAAGAACCAAGGAGATGTCAAAATGATGCTTGAACCCAAATTTCTAGCAGAAAGCAACAACAGGAATTCTAGAAAATTTGTGTTGAAGGACTAGATGATCATAAGGTTATCTAGTCCAACTCCGAGCAGGACCATTCCAGCCAAGGTTTGTCAAGCCGGGTCTTAAATCTCCAAGGATGGAGATTCCACCACCTCTCTGGCAAACCTGTTCTAGTGTTTTACTACCCTCTTAGTGAGGTTTTTTCCCCCCAATATTCAACTTAAAACTTTCCTTTCTGCAACTTGAGACCATTGGCTCCTTGTTCTGTCATCTGCCCACAATGAGAACAGTGCAGCTCCATCTGCTTTAGAACCACCTGGCAGGTAGTTGAAGGCAGCTTATCCAGTCAGCCCCCAGCCTGTACTGGTGCATGGCCTTGTTCTGTCTTAAGTGCAGGACTTTGTACTTGTCCTTGTTGAATGTCATGAGGTTTTTTGTTTGTTTTTTTTGGGTGCAAACTGTCAATTTGTCTAGGTCCTCCAGTTTGTTGAGCTATTGATTACTACCCTCCAAGCTTGATGATCCAGCCAGTTTTCTATCCACCTTACATCCATCCACCCTATACTTCCTTAGCTTGCCTCTGAGAACATTGTGGAAAACCATATCAAAAGCCTTGCTAAAGTCAAGGTGTATTATCCACAAAGCCAGTCATTTCATCATAGAAGGTAATCAGATTGGTCAGGTATGGCTCACCCTTGGTGAATCCATGCTGACTGTTCCCAATAACCTTCTCCTAGTGCTTAGAAATGGATTCCTTGAGGACCTGCTCCATGATTTTTCTGGGGACCAAGGTGAGGCCGAGCAGTCTAGTTCTCTGGATCCTCTCCTTCCCTTTGTTAAAGATGGGTGTTACATTTGCCCTTTTTCAATCACCTGTGACCTCTCCCAATCACCCAGAGTTTTCAAAGATAATGGCCAGTGGCTCTGCAGTCACATCAGCCAGCCCCTTCCACACTCGGATGCAGCATGTCCAGCTCCGTGGACTTGTACATGCCCAGCTTTTTTAAGTAGTCCGTAACCTGTTCTTTTGTGACTGGCAGCTCTCCCCCTCCTCCCCAAACTGTTGCCAGATGCAGTAATCTGGGAGCTGACCTTGCCCCTGAAGACTGAGATAAAAAGGGCATAGAATATTTCAGCCTTTTCCACATCATGTCACTATGTTGCCACTGCCATTCAGTAAAGGACCCACACTTTCCTTGATCCTTCTCTTGTTGCCAACATACTTGTAGAAACTCTTCTTGTTACCCTCAATGTCTCATGCTAGCTGCAACTTCAATTGTGCTTTGGCTTTCCTGATTTCATCCCTGCATGCCTGAGCAGTACCCTTATACTCCCTAGTTATTTGCCCAAGTTGCCACTTCTTGTAAGCTTCCTGTTTGTGGTTTAGCTCACCGAAGAGCTCCCTGCTAAGCTAAGCTGGTCTTCAGTCATACTTACTAATCTTCTTGCATGTTGGGATGGCTTGTTCCTGCACCCTCAGTAAGGCTTCTTTAAAAAAATGAAACCAGCTCTCCTAGGCATGTTGTACACAAGAAAATATAATACATTACAATGGTCCTTGCTACCTGTACACACCACAGGGCTTAATTCTCCTTAAATTAAATAGGTTTATAAAATTTAAAACTTGTTTATTTTGGAGCCTCACATCAGTGTTTGCACACAGTAGGTTTTCAAATGAATTAAGCCTGGTCCCTAGCCAGTGCTGCTCCGCTTCTGAGACAACAGGTCTGGTTGGCAGATAAATCCCACTGTCCCCACAGAAGGGAGTCTCCAACCACCACCTGTCACTTCTTGGTAGCCGTGGTCTAGATCCTTCCCGCATTGGGGAGGCCTGGCCTGTCATCCTTCACCAATGGAATGTGCTCCTCACCCTCTGTTGCTAGGGCTGCATCTCTGTTTTCTATATGAACTGCTGCAGGTAGAGATGAAGATTTCTACTTGCTGTCAGAGGTCACATGCTTTCAGCTTCCACTTCCCTGGGAGTCTTCATCTTCCTCTTTTTCTAGTGCTGCCTCTAGCAGTCCTTCCTCTACTGTCCTAGAAATCTCCTCCAGCATGGAATCAATGAAGTTGGCATGGTGGAGGTGGCTTCTGAGTCTCACTACCTCCTTCTGTAGCTCTCTTGCCTGTTCCCTGAGGGACACCGCTAGGAGGCACTGCTCACATACATGCCAGGCATTCCCCCACCTGGCTGTCACTGGAAGGAAACTGCAAACTGCCATCTCCATAGTGCCAAGGACCTGGGTGCAAGCCTCTATCATGAGTGGTCCTGCCTGATACAAGCAGAGGAAGAGCTGGCAGTGGTTGTGGCATTTTGACGTCCCCCAACCATTTCTCTTGGTCTCAATCTGCTGCCCTTCTCTTCCTGCCCCTCTTTCCAAGCAGACCTTCCCTAGCAGACTCCCCTGTAAGCTGGCCTGTTTGTTGCTCCTCGGTCCCAAAACCTTCCCTTTCACCAAGTTTACAGTGAAGGTAAGAGAGAGTCCAGGCAAACTCCCCAGTGAGCCACCTCTCACTTTAGACTCTAGTTAAACCAATACTTAAGCCCCTTGCTTAACTCCAGTTTTAGCTACTTACACTAATACATGTAGGTTGGCTACTCATAATGACAGAAAAAGCTTATCTGAAAGACTCCCCCTTCAAAGAGAGGGGCAGCAAACTGGCACACTACTGTTTGCTGCCCCTGGTTGGGGAAGTCTCATTTTATACCCTGGGCCTGGCTCTGCCCCCTTATTAGGGCTTTTATTAGCCACAGGCAGCAATCACTCAGCTGGGAGCACTTCCAGCTGTCCAGAGCACATGCCCAACATGCACTGCCACCAAACAAACGCTCAGCAAGGCAAACGCACAGGCACTACTGGCTCACTTCCCTTCCGGGAGCAGGTAATCTCTCATTCGATATCTCTGTTACACACAGACTGAGATTGTTTTCTTCAGACACTGTGTTCTCAGGCATCCTAGGCTCCCCCTACACTAGCAAGTAGCAAGCTAGGGCCCAGTGCTCTCATGGCATGGGGCACCAGTCAGCCAGTTGGTCCTCCCAGCTACAGGAGCGCATCAGAAACCTTGGCTCAGGTGCACCCTTGTGACTGGGAATGTGGGTCAACGATCAGCACTCCCAACCTTAGGAGTGCATCCAAAGTCTTGAAAGGCTCCATGTGCTCCTGAGGCTGGAAGCAGCCACACATTCAATTAAAAGGTGCAGCAGGAACAAGCCACAAATCTGTTGTTCATAATTTGCAATAACCACTTTGTGGGTTGTTCCTTACTTTACTGTGTCATTAATTGCTTGACTATATAGCTGGGTTACTACTTAAGGTGCGATTAAACAGTCCTCTGGAACACACAAGTCTTTAATCTATGGCATTAGTTAAAGAGCAGCTTCAAGCAGCATCCATTTGGGAGCTGTGGTACTGTTGAGACAGCTCCTGGTGGTGACTTTGGGACTCTCAGTACTAATGTTCTGGGTGGCAGTATCTGTCCCAATCCTGCCAGTTTCCAGTGTACTGTTTTTTTCTGCAGTAAGGGTACCCACCATCTGTGCCAGTATGTTTAGAGCACAGAACTGTACACATCCTCAGCCCCAAATTCAGAGTGCTTCACCACTTGAATACTCTGCCTCAACATCAGGACACAGTAGCCAGCACTTCTGCACACTCCGGATCTCACTGACTCATACGTATGGGCAGATCCTGAGTGTGTTTTCACTAGCAGAGAAGATCTGAGAACAGGAGTAAATGAGGTGGTACTAAGGGGATTGAATGCCTCTCTCACAGCTCTCCACCTTGGCCATACTGGATGTCATTAGGATTGTACCCAATTAAGACCTCAACAGCCATTCCTAGACATAGCTCACCATCTCCTGAAAGATCCTCAAGACAGCTAATAATCTAGGGTAGTATTGCAGTTCTGTGCAAGGTCTTTGCAGTTGATAGTGCTCTATAGTAATGCCTCCAGCAGCAATACCAGCTTATCCCTTTCCAGGCTCATACTTGCACATTAAAAGGCCAATTTTATGCATTCCCTCCACTCTGGCCTCTCCACTTATATCCTTATATGAATTAGATTGTGGGAGCCTTCAAAATTGCTATACCATCTTTCAAGAAAGACAGCCTTTTTAGTGGCAATCCCAATCAGTCTGAATGCAGACAAAGATAAAGTTATTTACCTGCTGTGAGGCCCCTCACACTCTTCCAAAAAATCGTTACTCTCAGTACTTGTCCAAATTCCACTCTTCCCCAAAGCGATCCAACTTGTCTGAACCAGATGATCCACTTGCCCATTTTCTTTCTTGTATTATGTGACACTACTCAATATTTTTGATGCCTCTGGGCATTTTTTTTTTTTTTACCCTCACACAGTGAAAATAATCAGGGTCTCACCCAGACTGAACAATATTTCCCCCAAAACTTTTAAAATCAATGTTAGCAACTATTTAGTTTAGATCCTTGCAAGGCAAGTTGAAACTTAATTGTCTAGAGTATAAGCAGCATTTGTGACTTCTTGGAGATGCTGTCAACTTGGAAGTGCATAGGGCATCTGCCTAAGCATCTGACTAGCCCCATGACAGAAAGGGACCTAGAGGTAATAACAGACCATAGTATGAACACGAGCAGTCAGTGCAATGCTGTAGCCAGCAGGGCAAACAATGCTCTGGTGTGCATCAACCAATGCATCTCAAGCAAAACAAGGAAGTGATTCTTCCATTCTACCTGGCACTGGTGAGACCGCAGCTGGAGTACTGTGTCCAGTTCTGGGTGCCACACTTCAACAGGGACGTGGAAAAAGCTTGAGGGAGTCCAGAGAAGGGACACCCAAAGATGAGCCATACAAGGAAAAGCTGAGGCACTTGGGCCTCTTCAGCCTAAAAGAGAGAAGACTGAGAGGGGACTTGGTAGCAGCTTACTGGTACATCAGGGGACCACATCAAGGGCTCAGCAAACAACTGTTCACCAGGGCACCCTTAGCAAAAATCAGAAGTAATGGCCACAAACTCCTGGACGACTGATTCAGGCTTAAAACTAGGAAAAACTTCTTCAGTTAGGGTGCCCAGACCATGAAATAAACTCCTTCCAGAGGTGGTGCAATCACCTGCCGTGGAAGTCAAAAGGAGACTGGACAGTTACCTCACTGAGGTCACCTGACCCCAGGTGTCTTTCCTGCCCAGTGCAAGGGGGCTGGACCTGATGATCTTGTGAGGTCCCCACCAGCCCTTTACAACTTATGAATCTATATTGTTCCTGTGCAGAGGCATCCAAGCTGAATACTCTCTCAGTCATGCAGGTAGCCAGATTACTGTAGGAAATAATTTATTTTCAGTAAACGTCCATATGTATTCCACTCAGTGATTCACAGGCACTAACTTGTGGAGAAGTTTGGTAAACTGTGGTTCTTTGAGATGCACTGTCCATGCTCCAACCTCCTTCCTTGTTACTGCAGGACCTGTTAACATCTGGGTTGCTAATATAGAACAAGAGGCAACTGGCTTCACTCCACCCTTTACACGCTTAACAGAGAAGTGGTAATGGCACTGGTGTGACCCAAAAAGAGATGAGATAGCCATGAAGATGAGGAGCTTGAGTGTACCTGTATTAAGAGTGGACTAGATGGCCAACATCTCAAAAAAAACAGTTACTTACCTTCCAGTAATATATTCTTTCTGGGAAAACACACAACACATAAAGCAATAATTTAAATAGAAAGGAGATTTCAAGGGCATTTTTACACATGCAGGCACCTGCCGCTGAGCCACATGAAGTTGTATAAGTGGTGAAATGAGTGTCAGCACTGAAAAAAAAAAATGGTGGTGATGTGCTTTTGAACTAAAACAGCTCAAAGGTTCAAAACTGCACTGCACTATTCATGGCAGTGTATGCCCCCAGTGGGCAGGGGACCACACCACCACCACACAGGTTTGTAAACTTTGGTTTGTGAAAACATGGGTGCCAGCAAAGAAATTAGCGTGAATTATTTGTCCAGCAAACTATTTTCATTAAAATGTGAGAGGTATAAACTGTTCAGTTACAAAGCTATACCACTTCAGACCCCTATCCCATCCTATACCAGTCTATATTACAAAGTGAACTTCTTATAGGCTTCCACAATGTACACAACAGGAAACTCCAAGCTGAGTTTCACTTCTATACACCTCTCACCACTGTACAGATGCTCAAGGGAAAGGGATAGCTGGAAGAGTGGGGGCCCTCTTTGGAAAAGCACAGCTCTTCTCCTACGTCCAGAGACCCAGGCTGAGCCACAAGCTGAGATGTCTTTCCGTGACTCTACAGAGTCATTTAACCATGTTCAAGTCTGATTTTAAAAGTCTGCATAAATTAGCGTGCATGTTTTCCTAATGCACAGCAATTATTTGAACTGCTAGCAACCTATCAAGCAACTTCCAGAAATGCTTCTCAAATGATGTAGGGATGTGAATAACTCAGCTGCCTGTTTAGAGAAGTGAAGCAAGAAGAGCAACCACTTTTAAATATTTTAACTAAAGCCTTTATTCTATACAACTGTGAAACAGATCATTTACCCTTTTGGCATTGCAGACTCTTCTGTCAATCTTTCCTGAAACTGCATTATTGGGATGGTTGGAAGAAAGAAAGAAAAAAAAAAAGTTACAACCTTGGCCGACTTCAGACAAAAACTGGGAGCAGTTACAATGTTTACAAAGGAAAAGCAAGACAACCAGAAAGAATCAAATGTCCATTAGAACAAAGCTTAGACCCCTGCTAATAATAAATACAATTCTGGACAACTTCTCAATAAAATTACAGCTCTGTTTAACCATTTAATTCACAAATATCACTAAAAATATGCGGTAATAGCACAGTTGTGTCAAACCAAGTATACACGGGAATGGGGTTTAAAAATTCAAATGGACTTTAAGGGAAAAAACACATGCTAACCTTCATTCTGAAACACACCTTCTCATGTGTGCAGTGAGCCTGTCCAGTTAGATTAAGCATGCAGAAGGTAATGACTTGAGTATTTTTCAAAGAAAATGTGTTGATAAAAACAATCTTATTTTTAATTTGATCCCAGTAATGTAATGAACCTGGGACTTTCTTAATGCTCTAACCTAACTCCTGATAGCAAAAATACAGGAAGGGCAAGAGCACATCTCCAGGGGAAAAAAAAAAGAACAACAGACTGCCCTTTGAAGGCACTTGTGCTTCTGTTTCAGACAAGAGTCATTTTACACAATTTCTTTGCGAGGATTATTAATTTTCTCTGGCTACAAAGTTTTATTTTTTTTTGGAGGGACAGCCCCAAATTTTCTTACCACAAGTTGAAATTCTCCCTACTCCCCAATAAGTTAAACTTTTTACAAGACCACTATGAGTTCATGAAAGCCTTAAATTTTTAGAAACAATAGTGAAAAGAAGATCTGCATACAGCTATAACAAAAACAGCATATAAAACATTGGAAAGAAAGAATACAAGTACTTCTGTATCATGGATATGAAGTTTGCTGTGTAGTATCTATAGTCTGATAGTAACAAATAAAGTTAAATTTTTCAGAATGATCTGCAGTTTTGACATGTGGAGTTTAGAACACGGGTACTGGGAATTCCAACTAGCTTGTCTTCAGAACAGGGCAGGAAAGTTACATATTGTCTTTAAAAAAAAAATTCTTATGTTGTTGCAAAATAAGTTTATTGTATTATGATACAATAAACTGCTACAATATTTATCTAGTGTTCTTACTCTGAATGTCAATCTCTCTACAACATGTTTGATCCACCATAGTAAACAAGTCTCATGTTAACCCTTCACTTGCAATTACATGGGCTGCTTCTTTTCAAGTGTGTAATAATTTTATTCTTATTCCTCTACATGGTATTTTTTTTTTTTTTTTTTTTTTTTTTTTTTTTTTTTTTTATGAATAACCTATGGAAAAAAATCAATATAGATACCAGATGAATGGAATGTACTCAAAAAATACAGTGCATGCAGTTTTGAATTACGTTGTGAACACAGTGACTAATATGGCCAAAATGGTGTTTCATATTAAGCATGAGCAGATGAAAATAATGTTCTGGAAGAAAAAAAGAGAAAAGGGGAAGCAAAAGTCTGCACTGGATCATCATCTGTTCTCTGTACACCTTACATAACATGAACCACTCAGGGACTTCCCAACTCACTCACTAGGCCTTGATTAGGACAGACTTTAGTTTAAAATCATATAGATTTTTTTCCTCTATATTACAACTCTATTAGTCACTTCAATTAAATGTATACTTTCTGTCCATACTGAGTCATTAGAAGTCTCATCTACCTTAGGGGTTCAGTGGGCTTCTATAGTACTACTCTTGGAACCAGTACAGTAAGGTCAAGTAAATGAATAACCATTTGGGTCCATCACTTCTTTCACGTTGATTTCTGGCGGTAATGAAGTGTCAGATCTCCACCACTCTTCCATATGAAATGCTTTACAGTTCGAAGGTCCATGTTTGGATCCAAAACCTAAAAGGTGAGAATTTTTATAGCTTTTGATACCTGGGGCACACTTTTTCCTGTATAAAAATCAAGGACACACTTCACTTTTACACCCAAAAGAGATGTATGTAGGAATGACAGGTCAGCAATACCCAACGTTATGGCCTGGCAGACTGGACGAGTGGTGCCAGGTCAGTCCACAGGCTGGGTCCAGTCTGTGGGCCCAATCCTTCTGCACAGAGCTTGTGTTGTATTACAATTTTTTAGATGACCCTTAGGCCAATTTTTAAAGCTCAAATGGCAGCATTTGCTAGAATAAGAAGAGAAGACAGGCAGTGTCCAAGCTGTTCCTCCTCAGCCCTGCATCTCAAACCTGGCCTGTCACATTCACAATGCCCTTTGGTCATTCTGCTTCAGGCACCTCTAAAAAGTTTGTATTACAGATAACAGCTCAGTACTAGTTGGTTTATCAGTCCATCACGTACCAGAATAATGTCAGGACTAAGTCACAAATGGAAGAAAGATAGAACCAGTTTCAGAAATAGCAAAGCATCAAGATAGCTACAATTTGGTTCATGTTCAGCTAGCCTGAGCAAGCATTTGTAGTATTCTCCCCTATTCCCTGCAAAAAATTACAGGCCAGCAACCAAAATCCCAGTATATAGATGCTTAGCGATGTGATCTATCCAGCTGTTTTACACACAAAAGATAAACCTGTAGAGTCCAATGAGATCATAGGAGAAAATTAAGTTTCAAAGACAGTTTAAAACAGATCAGCTGCAAGACATTTTTAAGATCCCTGCCTAGGGTTCAGAATTGATTTACTGTTAACCATTATATATGCCTGTCACATGCACATGGACCTTCAGTGGACTTACCTGGTCCTGGCACAAGAGTTCAATTTTCTCTTCTGCTAACACAGCAATGTCCTCCTCTTTTTCTTGTTCTCCAGCTTTTTCATTATTGGAGGAGCTTGTCGTCTGAGATTCATTATCCAGACTTATGATTTTCTCATAAACATGTTCCATTACTTTTCTGACCTGTAGCATGTCACTAGCTGATAATCTGTCTCTGTGCAAAGTAATAAAAAATGCAAGACAACTGATTTAAGCCTTTTCAACTTTTACCTTCACAGCATACAACCAAGTTTGCTAAAGCAGATACATTCTCATTTACAATGTAAAATAAAAGCATTCTGATATAAAGATCTTATTTCAATCTATGGTACGAGACCATCTGTAGTTCTGTAGAGTATCAGTTACACCATCTGGTAAAGGATATGGTATAAAATTAAAGGAGTTAAAAGTGATGGGAATGATCAGATTAAAATCTCAGATAAAGAATTCAAACAATTCCAACTGTTTCACTTCAAGGGAGAGACAGCTAAGATGACAGGATAAAAATACATTGGATGATAAGTGATATACAAGCAGCAACATCTAATGAAATTAAGATGGCAGGACATTAAAAAGCAAATGAAATAAGATTGTCCATAGGCAGTCACAGAAGCAAATATTTAGCAAAACTCAAGGAGGGATTGGACATGTATCTAGGTATCAAGAATATTCAAACTTAAATGGCAGCAACACTTTTGGTAGACTATTGAATCTCATTACTTCAGAGATGATACCAGTGATTTCCCAACCTTTTTTCTTTTTTTTTTTTTTTCTTTTTTTTTTTTTTTCTTTTTTTTTTTTTTTCTTTTTTTTTTTTTTTCTTTTTTTTTTTTTTTTTTTTTAGACTCAAGGAACCGCTCTATAACTTTTTCAATTTTAGGAGCACCCGATTTCAAAATATTATAACAAAAAAGAAGTGACATGTTTATGAGTGGTCATTAACACTTTTTCCTGAAGTCCCTTTACTTCAGATTAGATCTCTTAAAAAAAAAAAAATTTTTTTTTTGAAATTAAGAACCTGGAAATAAAGAAGAAGAAACACTACTTTTAAGGCAATATTGCTATTGAGAAGTTATGGGTGCAAAAAAGTCAGAAAATAAAGACACTTCAGGGTCAGAGTTCCATAATTACATGGATACCACGGTTTGACTACAGACAGAGACCAAGGTCTGCAGCACACTTGTGAGGAGGCATCAAAACTTCCTTTCCTTATCAGCAGAGAAGCTGCCCCCCTCTCAGTTTGGCAACAGGAGTCTTACACAAAGGCAATTCAGGAAGGGAGACACTTTCTGTAAGAAGCAAGACTTCTTACAAATTGGATGCAGGGGCTGGCTACTGGAGGTTACTTGGGAAGCTGGGAGCAGTGAGAACACGCTTGCACTAAGCTGAAGAGGCAAAGAACAGACAAAGTTCTGGTGCCCCAGTGCAGATGACTCCAAGTACCAGCTCTGCACCTAGTGTCAGCCTGCCTCTGGAAGCCAGGGACTCTGTGCTCACCCTCCACCCATTCTACAGCTCCTGTTTCTGCCTGCGCTGTTTCCCTGTGAACAGCTGCAGCTCATTCTCCACTAGCTAGTCTTCCCTGGAGCCCTCTGTCGGCACTGGGAGCCACCAGTGCCATTGGTCCAGGCTGGGCTGGCTCAGGTAGCTTTCTCCACACTGCGAGTGGCTTCATGAGAACCTGGTGTAAACTGAGACTGAGCTACTTCTGGGAGGCCACACATCCTGCAACATGCTTGAAAAACATGTTGTGGCACTCGGGTTGTGAAAATCACCAGGCTTTACCAGCCTATTAGAGACCCTGAATAAGACCTGACATGAGGGACAGATTCCTGTGCAGGTAGCTGTTTGGTTTCTTCTACTTTCATTTGAAATCTCTAGTACTGGCCACCATTAGAACCAGGATTGCTAATTAGATAAGCAGTGGGTCAAATCCAGTAAGACAGTTCCCGTGTTTCAGTTTTACCTGGAACATGGGAATTGAAAGCGTTATACAACTCGATAAAAATGGAACAGTTAGGTTGCCAAAAAAAGTTTCAGCCCAAGTCAAAGTTCAGCATTTGGGTAAATTAACTGACAGCATAATACCTTAAAACTTTCAAATATTTTAGTATCATCTTGGGTGCATCTACACATGAAATTAATTTGAGGTAATAAACGCTGGGGCTGTTCAAGTTGCAGGAAACTGCTCCTGGATGCAGTATCCACATGTGCAGCCAGGACAGTGGCAGTTTAAGCTGGGACGGAGCAAGCCCCTGGCTGGTTGGACTGACCACACAATGCACGCATGCGGTCAGTATGTACACAGGTGTTTTGGTGCAGTAGAGTACTCCACCAGAAGATGGTACTGCCCACAAGAGCACTATCTTACGGCACAGTTAATTAGTTCACTGTGCCCAGTATGGCATATGTGTAGACTGACACTTTACCATGAAGCTAGCCAACACTGCAGTAAAGCACGTGTGTAGATGCACCTCCTGTGTAGGCAGATATTCTCCCAACACTATACACTCTCCCTCTCTCAAATCTTGAGAGATACAGAGAGAGGATGTCCAATTTTGACTTCTGGATGATCAAAGATTCTGTTGTTTGTCTTGGCAAACTTTTT